TGCATTTAATTTGTTGTTATTAAATTACAGTTAAATCCTATAATTTTTGTAATTTGAAATTATTTTACGCCGCTTTTCTGATTTTCAATTAAAGTTAAATTTGATACTTCTCTATTAATCCTGCTTTAATTGAGTTGATTTAATCTGCTCAACTATTAAAATATGAACTAAATTGTGTGGAGGAACACCGCCTTAACTTCTATAGATATTTAGAATAATTACAATCTGTTTTATTAGAAAAATTTATATTTTGTTTTCACAGAAAATACAGAATTATTACTTAGAAGCCATTTTAAATTTGGAAACTGATATTTATTTTATCAATTTTTTTTTTAATTTTGATATGTATTCACGAATAAAGTTGTAGCTGAGTGTAGAGTCAAACCTCTAAACAATGGCCACTGACGAGAACATAAAAAAATGGCCGTTGTTTGGAGGTTATTTTGTATGTATTTTTGTTCGAAGGAGGAAAAAATGGTGGCTGTTATGGGAGGTTTGGCTGTATTTGAGTCTTTCTAACTCTATTTTTTATTATTTAAATATTTGAATATCTAATCACCTGATAACTGGATACTTCTCTAATTTACTAAAAACAATCGAGAGAGAGAGAAAGGAAATTTATAAAATATTTTAATCAAACTTTTTGATAATGAAGTTACAATTTCAAAAATCATTAGTCTTCTTTGATTATTTAATTTGTATTTAACCCCATTAAAATCACGTGTACATGATAAAATAGGGAAATAATGACCTCTTCTATTTAAATGATCATCCACTAATAACAACTGCAAACGAATTTTGTTTAGCATTTCAAATCTCTTTTCTATGCTAGATAATATATAAATAAAAATTCGAAAAGATGAGGAAATTCGATTGTCGAAATATTAAAATCTCAATTAAATATTTCCATTTAATTAATTATATATATATATATTTCTTTTATAATTTATTAAATAATAATAAGAATAAAAAAGAAATTTTAAAATATAGTATTGTAATCCGGGAAACAGTGTTGAGGAATGGACCGTGCGGGGTGTCTGTCTTCCTCCCGTGTCCGCTCACGTGTTACACGAGATAGTGCGAGAGAACCACCCGGATGACCTCGACGGCGACGTTAATGACTGCCGCGTTGCCATAGCAACCGATGGCAACGGGTCCCGTCGGCATTTGCCATTAGCTGCAGAGAGATGATAAATAGCCGGCCGCAATATTCGTCATCATTGTTTTCTTCGCAATCCGAAACCTGCATACTGCATAGGACACAACAAAAACGACAAGGAAAAGCATCGAGAAAGAGGCAAAAAATCTGCTTTATTCTCTTCTTTGATCAAGTCTGGGCTATGATAGATTTAGTTTCTTCTATTTAATAAATCAATTATTATCTCTTTCGATGAAACTAGGCCTCAATTTACAGTTAAACTTAGCGCGATATTCTAAAAATCTCTTGTATTCTTATTAACAGCTCTCATTCTTTCTTTATGTATCTATTTATCATGCGAAACTCGTTAATTTGGGCCACGACGAAATGGATGATTCCAAATAATTTATCCAAAAGAAATTCGAAACTGAAGCGTCAGTAACTAGAGTTTAAGCCAGCTCTTTTTTTGGGGGGGTTTTTTCCTTGTCAATTCTCAGTGTAAATATTTATTAGTTTTAGAAGTATGAGGTTTTGTGTGCTAAGTTAAACATATACCATGTTAAGTTTAAAATATGAGAGATATCATATAAAATCTAAGACTCGAAATGAGTGATTTTAGATCGCATGCGACCGAAAACACGCTCATAAATATAACAGCACGCTGCGATTTGACGCAGAAAATACGCCAAAAATGATATATAAAATTGTTTTATATACCATTAAGTTCTTTATTAAGTAAGAGAATTTCCCAATTTTTTTAAAATTTAATTGCCAGGTTTCCGATCAGAATCGCATTATAAATTTGTATTTAGTGAAAAACCGCGTTGCAATGGAGACAAAACTGGACTTGGAGGCAGTAATTAATTAATAGAATACAGCATATAAACAATAGTCGAGTAAGGAGAGAAAGAAGACTGCAAGAGAATCAATGCAAACGGTTTTGTTTCTTAATAGATTTATCTCTCAATGCTTGTATTATTAAGCGAACTTTAGTGGTTTCATTGGCTATTGAGAGCAAGAAGAGGGGATTATCCGGAGATTATCTGGTAGGATTAAGCGACCTTTTGAGCTTGGCCGACCAAACGTGTGGGAAGAGAACCAACGGAAGTAGAGAGAACAAACAGAAGCGGAATGGGTCGACAGGAATCGGAAACAATGCCAGGCCCCTCTCGACTGCCCGTCCCCCGACTTTAAAGAGAGATCGTCCACTAATTCTATTTAGTCTCAGTCGATCCTTCGTGACAGATAACGGGAATATGATAAATTGTTCGACTCTACCCTAGAGACACGGCGGTTGTTATTTCCGTAAATTATTTCTCTCTCTTCCGTCGGCCACTTTTTCTCTTCTCTCTCTCTCTCCGTTTCTCCGTCGGGATTTGGCCAGATGAAAGTTTTTTCTCGGCAGCGGAAACTTATCCCCTTGTTTTTCTTGGCGATGAAGTTGGTTTCGGCCGAATTTCCGGGAAGGGGAAAGAAGAAGAAGAAGAAAAAAAAGGAAATTACAGCAGGAATGCTCATCTCCAGCACGGAGATTCTCTCCCTCCTCTCGTGACGTATCGTGTTTTGTTGAAACGCATCAAAGATTAATTCGCGCCAACTTGGCCATAAATCTCTGGAGAGGAAAACATATTTTAAACTCTGGCTACGCGTGGCTCGAAGATCCGTTGGTGGTTGCGCGCTATCTTCTCTTTTATAACTTTTCTAGTTTCGCTTTGATGAATTAGTTTCTGGCGAAATTCGGGTTTTAACGCTATTTCTTTTCGATTGTGCTCGAGTTTTGAGGGTAAAACGGGCGCATTCATGCCTTTCCGCGCATCTAATTAGGGAGACGAATTACAAATTTCTGATTACGTGCCCGGACACGGTTGTGGCACTTAACCACTCTAAGCTGATTTCCCTGTTTGCTAACACGCTTGGGTGAACCTTTCCATCTTCTCCTTTGGATCGAGTAGAAATCCTCCGAACTAACCACCCACCCCTCCACCTTTCTTCCGACAACTCGTCTAGCGTTAGAATTAATTTCTTGGAATTCCGTTAAACACTGGAAGAACCCCGGAATGTCTGGTCTATCTTTGAAAGCTAATGAGCACCCGCGGCCAAGCTAGTGACTCGCATCGACTGAAACTTACAAAAGAAACTAGGTTCGAGGTGTTACGAAAGATGCTAATAACCGGCTCTAGAGGAACGAAACATCCAAAAGAATAATCTCTAAGTGTTCAATACTTTGCATAATTTAAAAAGAACTAAACATCTAAAAACATTCTTATTTCGTACGCAGTAAGCCTTTGATATAACGAACTAATTGGAGCAAAAAGGTGTCCTCTGTTACCGAAAGCCCGTTTTAAAAACGTATATTAATAACGACCTTAAAATATTATTATGATGTATAGGTTGAATAAAATAACATTATAATTTGTACTGTACATTGCCTCATTGTTCCAATCTGTTAGCATGTTTTATAGTTATGCTTTAAGTTTTTCCTATCGGAAATTTTTGTCGTTAAATCGGGTTCTGTTAAAACGTGGTTTACTCTGTTACTTAAATGATTTAAGAACTAGATTTAAATATAACGAACTAAATCTAACAATAGAGTTATTTGTCAGTTTATTCTGATCTTCGTTCTCTTTTATCTCAGATGAAAATATTTAATTTCAAATTAATTTATAATCATTAAAAGGCGCATTAGAAACGTAAAATCCCAGTGGCCCTCGATCGAATAATAAAATATATTTTATCTCGATACATTTCTCTATTCTTTTCATGAATGCAGTGCACTCTGTAAACTAATGTGTCTAATTTATAACGCAGACATCTCTGTTTTAACAAGAAACTACAAAATATATTAATTTATAACATCTAAATTGAATTTTGTCGTATGTTTCGCTGATATATATATATATTTTTCGTTATAACCGTATCAATGCGTATTTTATCAATTATACTTTACTGTATAGTACGTAGGAAAAGGCCTAAATCAATTTTAAAGGTTGAAAATCATAACATTTGGTATATACAATATTAATTCACTCGAGCGATTGTGGATGATATTGCGTGATTTATAAATACCCAAGTCGGCGGATAAACCTTTGAGAGGGAGTCACCCGGAAACGGAGTCACGTGACAATGAGTCACTTCCTGCAATCGTTTCGTAGATGTAGATCACATGTGGACATTTATTGCGTCGAAATAAATAACAATTGTTTCTGTCAATATTATCGTTAAAATGTATTAAATATCTGATTTTTTCTGTATCGTATCATACGTATTTTTAGATATAATATCAAGACGTGCGGTCAAAAATGTATTCAATATATTTGCGTTACCTCTCAAATCAGTTGTCTACATAGCAAAACACTTAAAATATATGCGTTTATTGAAGGCTTATTAATTTTTCTAAGCACCTGTAGTGAAGGAAGGATGCAGCATAGATTGAATTCTAATTTTTTTCCCTTCCTAACCTTAAAGTGGAATAAATATTTAAATATCATCTTTCTTAAAATAAATATTATTTTTAAAATTAAGATTGAAACATAAGAGAAATCTATGTAATAATAAAAATGTAAGATAAAATTCTCAATAGACGTAAATCTTATGTGCACGATAAGCTATCAAATGGATATGTTTAGATCGAAATCCTGTTTCGGTAATTTGATAATCTTTTTTAATAGTAAACAAGATTATCAACTGATTTAAGAATCGTCAGTTTTAATATTAACAAGTAAATATTAAATTTACAATTTTTAGATTCGATTTCCCACCCACCCCTGAAAAATTATTCACTGTAATGTTCTATATATATACCATAACATAAAATAAACATATTTAAAAGCTATAGATCTAGCTTAATATATTTATTTTTCAGAGTGGGCCTCCGGGAAAGAAGAAACCATTTTCAAAGTGAGTAGTGTTTTTCAAATGAAATCTTTTGAATAAAAATGTGTATTATTGATAAATGAAAATATTTTGGAAAATATCGTCATATAATATAGACTGAACGTATTGAAGTGTAGGTGTGTAGGATGCAAAAAACTGGGAAGATATTGTATTTATTTAGCGAATTTAGTCTAAAGAAACGACTCGAAAAGTAAATACTAGGCCTATAAATGCCCATATAAATATTATTAACAATAATTAAATTCTCATCTACTCGAATATCGTCCACATAAATTAAAGCTTTAAGTAGTTAATAAAACATAAAAAGCAAAGACATAATTTTACTTAAGGTAACTGCAATGCTTGAGTAACAATACGACAAGGTTTTGTTACTTAAAAAACAGAAGGAACTTGTAAATAAATAACTCAATATTTCGATGTTAACATTTGGATAAATAAATGTCATTCAACTTCTTTGGAAGATGTTAGTTGAAGATTTTGAAACATGACATCATAATATTCATGGCATTAACTACCATTAGGCACATTAAAGACCTCTTCTATTTTAAAATTATGCGCATTTAAATCTTACTCGATGGCTTTAAAATTTAAACTTATAGATTACTAAGAAATTATGTTAAACACGATACACGGAAAGTCTCTCAAGTAAACCTCACTCTCTTCTATCCTTCTACTAGTTTATCTGGGCAAAAATAGAGCGGTTTTTTAATCTTTTAACACCAGACTCTATAAATATCACAAGTTTCTTTACAAAAAAATTCGAAACTTTTCAAATATTATTGCCTTTTCGTATTGACTAATTCATTTTACGTGTAACACTTTCATCAGTAGTAAATATAATTAATTGAATTATTTGTCAATATTCATTACAAAAAAAAATTATGATAAATTACAAATTTTAATGAAAATTTAATTATAAGAATAAGCCTATTTGATTACAATTCTTAGCTACATCTTCGATAGGAAAACTATAGACTTAAGTAGCCTGAAGGCCTTCGTGAAGCATGATCATATATAAAGTGGTAGTCGGAAGAACACGTCTTTTAATATTAACTAGAAAAGCCGACATATTATTTAGTATCAAGTATTTTAATATATTAAAATTTTTTAAAAATTAATTTGACTGAATCGTGATTATGTGCGTATATTAAAATATTATATTTCTGGCAAGATATTTGCTAAAAAAAAATCAGGATAATTTTAATATGACATTCTAAAACAACGTTTCTTATAAACCATTCTATAATTTAAACTCGGAATTAATTAAATTTATTAAATGTTTACAGTTATTATGATCTAATTTGCATTAAAAAATTTTTTATAGAAGCGTAAGTTTATAAAATGTAGGAGGATAAGTTACATGTGAATTGCTATTTTACAACATAACGGAAATAGATTTGGGTAAATAAAGAAAGTTTTTTTCTTGATAGATCAAGGATTTTATATCGAGTTATAATAAAATAATTGATGCTAATAGATTGCCGGGGAAGTGGAAATAAAAGGAGCAGCTACGCCATCCCTTTTTAATGCCTCTTCTTTCAATTAGACTCGTTCAACAAGTACACCGTAACGAGAACCGAATTAAATATTCCACCCGATAAAAAACAGAATTGCCTCAATTGCAAAGAGGAAATGCTACTTTGATCCCCTATTAGGATTCGACACACCCTGTTCAGCCAGTGGCGAATTTGGACAACACCTGCAGTCAACTCTCACCTGCCCCGCGGCTTTCTCTCTTCTAATATCATAAAATTTTACTTAAAACTAATCTACAAACTTTAAATTGTACTTTAATACTCGTTCGGTCGATTTAATTTAAAAACGAATATCTTAAAAAATTGCCACGTCCAGATAAGGTCAAGTTTTTTTTTTCCTCCTCTTTTTTTTTTTGGAAGGTTGGCAGTGCCAGAATGCACTGAAGGTAGGAGTGTAGAGTGTACCCCGCCGAGTGACAGGCGACGCAGGTGGATCTGACAGCTCTAGAGATTTTCCCACAGAAGGTTGCGTTGTTGGGCGAGGTGCACGGATTCTAGCAAACATTTTACACTACGGTACGGGTACAAGAACTGATGAATTGCAGATGCGAACTGAAGATCGCTTTCTTTAATTCCTGTAAATCATTCGAAATCGAAAGATTTGGCACAATGTTTGCTCGGGAATGTGTTAATTTCAAAATCGGGAAGTGAACATTTTAAAATTTAACAGGAATAAACGCCGAGAAGTGACATAAACTTGTCTTCGTTGCATAGGTGTCACCTTGTATTTCATCACGTAATGACCTTCACCCTCAACCCATTGTCTTCGGTCCGTTCCCATGTCGTAAATATGCTTCCCTCTACACCCGACGAAAATGTCTAGAAGTATCTAGCATAGAAATTTAAATAAAAATTTTAAATATTAAAGCAGAAAGCTTAACGTTATTAAAATTATAAATTAAACTTTCCGAAACGTGGTCTTTCTGTATTACACGAATGAAATAATACAGTTTCATTTTAGAATTTTACCGTATTTATCGTTGAATTTCAAAAAGAAACGATGATAAAATACTAAGTACAATTGATAAAAGAAAAAAAAAAATTTTTATAATTCAACGCTTAGCCATATTTTCTCTTTAAACCCTGCGGAAAATTTAAAAAATTGCAAAAATAAATCGGGTCTTTAATATATTTTTTTTATCGCACTAAAATCAAATTTTATCTACTTTCAACCTAAATGTGATTTTAATAACTTAAAATGTATTTAATTTTAACTTGACAACTCGTTAATTGTCTTTTGAAAATTAGCTAATTTAAAAAAGGAAAAAAAAAATTAAGGGAAACAAATATTAATTTTAAAGGCACTTTAGAACAAAAAGTTAAGAATTATAACAATTAAATTGCGCTTTTTAAAATTATATAATTAGATTCTAACTGATTTTTAATTGTTAAACTATCATTTATTTCTAAACTCTAAATGAGAATATAAAATCCGTATTTTTATAATTTAAAAAAAAAATACTACTTTGGTCATACGGTATTAACGACAAATTTCGATAAAATTGATTTATTAACAAGAGGAAAAAGATGATAAATTCCTTTATTTGTAGTAGATCTATTGAAATTAAGAAAGATGCTATCGTCCAATATTTCCTCAATTAGATCTACCACTTAGAACTTTCATCCAACCCTTGACAATCTATTAATTTATTTGGAAAATTTGATAGATCGATAGCTCGAAAGTTTCTCACCAAGATCGCGTTTCTATCTTCCATTTCCAAGGAACACACTCAAAAGAAAATGGACATTTAATTGCGTACGGAAAAAAAAAAAAAATTATTGTGTTGTACCGTTAAAGCTGGATGTATCTCCGCGGTACTTTATCAAAAATTAAATCTTTTTACAATGATTAAAAGTTTATAGCACTGCTGTAATTTTTTCTTGAATGATGAAATGTGTAGGTTTGTTATATTTACACAAAATATTATCTATTTTTAACGATCAAGTTATGAATAAGTTTACAGATTTTTGCAGCATATAAGCCTATAATCATAAAAGCAAACCGCTTAAATTATTTTATAGAAAATATTCTTAAGTTAAAAACAATATTGAAGATTAAAGAACTTTATTATTAATCATTAATCACAATAATTTTATTCTTCTTTACTCAGTTTTCGTGATAGAAAAAGAAAAATCTGAAACTCTGTAACCCTGCACCGAATCAACTTTTGCGCCTTAAAAAACAAAAAACAGCTACTACTTAACGAATATTGTAATTTGTGTATTGGAATTTCAGTTCTAATCAACTCTTTTCCAATAATTAAAAATTTTCTTAGATAAATAAACAAGAAAACTCAACTCTTATCTAATAATCCGGCTCCCATAAGGCACTCGCCGAATCAAATTAAAATTCCGGAATGTGATTAAAATAATTCTACAAAAGAAATCCAAGAAGCCAATTTGCAAAATATGACTTCATTGTGATTGATTGCTTATTAACCCGAACCATTGTTAGAAGAACCCCTAAATGTGTCCTTGAAATTATTTTGGAAAATATTCTTTCCTTTTACACGTTTTATAAAACGCATTCCATGGGGGATTTAGAGCTGTTTCTTCTATTCTCTTAGCTATGTATTTAAACTGTAGCAATTCAAGTTTATCTAATAAATAGAAAGATTAGAAAATTAAATTAAAATCATATGTAACTATATTTCTGATATTTATTTATTTCCATTTTCCATTATTTATGCTTTTTATCTACCACGAAAATATTCTACTTTTGCCTTTTCTCTTCCTCTAAGAACGGTTTTCTGATTAGATTTCATAATTTGATCATAATTTATTGAGATTTAATGCCTTATGCAACATCCTTTAACAAAATAAAGAAAAATATTTTAAAAATAATTATTATATTCGAAAAACTTTGAGAAAAATGTAAGTATTTAATCAAAAAGCAAAAGGATATAAAGGCAGCTAAAAATCTGGAAATACATAGAAATCGAATGGATAAAGAAGAGTTATTGAAATATTTAAAACCGCAACCCTATTTAGAACATCGTATGGAAGTCCGAATTCTTCTCCGAGGGCAGAAGGTCGAATATAATATCAGATGACCTTTCTAAACGACAGCTGCTGCTTGCTACGTAACCGGTTCTGCAACTGATGGCGCATCTATTCCAAGTACAGCCCTCGCCTTTTGCAAGCCACACACCCGTGCATGACAGATATAGTCTGCGAAAACCATTTATGCAATATAATCACCCATTTGTTATTAGGGGGCATGCAGAGTTTCGTTGTAAAAAACTCCAAGCTTGTGCCAACGAATAAATAAATAAATAAAGGCGTTAGCGAGCATTTAAATAAATAAAAAAAAACTACAATTCATTTCACAAAATAAAAAAAATATATATATATATCAATCAATTCGATTAACCGTAAGCAAAAATTTTATATAAGCTGTGATATAAAAGTTTCGGACGAAATAACTAAAAATAATTGTAAAAATTTCATATAGAAAATTTGAAAATA